ATTTTAAATAATAGTTATATTCTAAAAGATAATTTGTTTGGTAAATTTGTTTTAAGTGATGTTGATAAATAAATTTTTATTATTTTAAAAGTCGAAATTGAAATTAGCAAGCTGTAAAATTTCTTGACCAATGTTTTAAAAAGTATTATTTTAAAGAGCTATAATATTATTTTAAATATCATAAGGTGAAAAGATAAATTGATTATTTTTTAATTAAGATATTTATTGAAATACATTTGATATTTTAGAGCTAGATATTTATAAGTTGACTTAACTCTGCCAATTTTATTAATTGATCAAAGAAATTCCATTCACTGTTATAACCTCTGTTTATTTGGGCTAAATATAAGTTAGTTCTTATTAAATAAATTCATAGTCTTAACTTGAAATCAAAGCAGAACATCCTGATATTGAGTCTTTACTGAAAATATCTAAATTGTAATTATTTTCAAAAATTCCATTTTAATGTAAGCCTAATATATTTACTATATTTTTTTGAGAGTCAAATTTATAGCTTAAAAATTGAGGATATCCATAGCTTTACTAAGCTACAATATCGAATTTAGTACCATTTATTATTAGCAGTTCGAATTTATCAACGAATAATATAGCTATTAAGTTTTTTGCTATCAATTTGAAGAAAGTTATTCTATCTGTAATAAAATCTTTTTTAATTGCTGTTAAAAATTCAATTTTAGTGTCAAGGACATACAAGTTTATTTAAAATGAGCATTAAATAAGTATGTAGCTTTGTTCTATAGCAAAACTATTAATTTTTATATTAGGTAAAAATAAATTTTATTCTTGTTTATTGTTTGAGTAGTTATAAATATAAGCTTTTTTCTATCCACTAAAACTAAAAATATATCTCTGATAAGCAAAATCAATCAAAAAATTTGCCAATTTAATTTAAGGATCTTCTTTTACTAGAAGTCTTAGGTCTATTTATGAAATAACATTTATATTTTGGATATCTATTTTTATTAATAGTGCACCATTAGAAATAGCATAAGCATATTATTATTTATCTGAGTTTTCAATCATTTAAATTTTTATTATTTAAGTTTACAAAGAACCCTATTAAGTGGTGTTATATAAAAAATATTATTAGCTAATTAAGTTATATTAAAGCAGTTAACAATCACTAAATCCTATTATTATTAAATCTTAATTAAAAGTAAACGAAGTGACTAATTATGTTGAATTATATTAAATTTCTTTGATGATAACACCTTTTTCAATATTTAAATGTAAAATTTTTGAATCGCAAGCAATAGCAATACTGTCAGTTATAAACTGCTAAAATTAAATAGTGTCAAGCTTGTAAATATTAGAAATTAGGTTATTATTTCTACTATATTAATATTATTAATAAAATAAAATAGAGTCTGAAAAAGCAAGTATTAAAATATCTTTGCTTTAATTGTATTTTATTTCTACTATTTAATTTTCATTACTTATTGCAAATTCAAATTTTACTTTCTATCCTGTATATCTTTAGATTACATTATATTTGTTGATAATAAGAAAATCAGCCTGAATACTATTAATAGATATTTAAACAAACAAATTTTGCTGCTCGTTTAGAATAGGTTGATACTAGTTTCCCAATAAGTTATAATCTAATTTATAAATCTATTAGTCAGAATAAATAAAAACATCATTTGTTATTCCGTCATAACTAAACTTTTGTATTTTTTCTTATCCATCAGTAAATTCACTAATTTTAACAAGGCTCTGAAATGGAAGTTTAGGATCTATGGAAGACAGATAAAATGTTCCTTCTGCATCTAAAAACATTACATATCGAATAGAATTTTCATCATATTCTACTTGAATAATATTTTTATTGTCTAATGAGTTATATTTAACTCCAGATAAAGTCATAATTTTTTATTAAGCAGAAACATCATATAAAGAAATTTAGTCCTATCTGTCATTTGTGTTAAATAATATGTAATTTAGCTATTCGATGTATATTAATTATATAATATAACCAGAGCTATCTCTAATATCAAATTAAATAAAATCAAAGGTTTATCTATCTATTAAAGTCATATCTAATTTTTAAAATAAAATTAAAATTAATTTAATTTAATACATTTAAAAGTTAAATATCTTATTGCTATTTTAATATAATAACATAATTGATGTTTTTAGAAATTAATAAAAATGATTTTAAAATTTATTTTTTTACATTAAGAAAATGAGCAGAAATACTTTTTAGAGTAAAGATAGCATCTTTCTTAATTTCCTTCAATTGTTTGTTTTAAAATTCCATCAAAGTTATAGATTTTGCTTTTATTATACCTACTGTAAATAAAGATGTTTTGGTTTGTTTCATCAGTAATAAATTATAAGTCATCATATAAAATTAAAAATTTTTGAGAAGTTTTTTCTATCTTATCATATAAAAAAATATAATAGTTATAAAGTATGGAATATAAACATATTATTTTTTTTTGTAAGCTTTTACAATTCATTTGGATATAGTCACCATTTTCGTCTACAATTTTCTAAGGAGTAAGCTAGGCATTAATAACATAAATGCTACTTCCATATATATAAAGATTTTTTTCATAATAATCATAAACATATCCAATAACAACTTTCAAATCTTGAAAAAAATATTATTGGTCTGTTTAGATATTTATAAAAATAAATGTATTATCAGATTTCCATATTAAAAAGATTTCATCAAATAAATCAATTTGTCTTAACTAAACGTTTTAGATAAAAATTTATAAAACGCTATCATTGAATATATCAAAGGAGTAAACTGACTGGTAATTAAAAATATAATATTTTCCAAATTTAGCGCTTCTTTTCATATAAGTTGCATAATTAATTTGATAATCACCTAAATCAAGTTTAGAGTATCTATTATTTTAAATTTAGGCTGAATGCAGTAAACCAGAACTGCTTTCAAAGTAATATATTGAAGTATTCTAAGAGTTTTTTTAATTTTCTAATGGTGTAAAAGGAGACTAAATATAGATATCTGTATAAAAATAATCTATTCCACTAATTTAAATAATATTTCTTTAGATGTCTATAAAGTATTCATAAAATTATTATTTATCATAAACATAGGTGGAATAATATTTTTTCCCATTTAAATTTACTTTTTTTATTAATTAACCAATATAAAATGTTGATTTTATAAAGGTTTAGGTATTACTTGAGATGTCTATTAAAACAATACCTTCCTATCCTGATAAAACATAAATCTAATCATCATACATAACCCGACCCAACGAGCTAACTTTTGATATTGGCAGCTAATTTATTAAGTAAATCAATGTCATATCTGAACTATAAACTCTAAAATAGCCTGATTCATCGAAAATTAGAATCTAATCTAAATAAAAATTATTGTTAATTTCATCTTATAAAGAAGAAAATGATTTTATTATTTCAATATTTTTAGCAAAAGTATTTATATCCTGTATCCATTAAAGTTAGTTATTCAATAAATCGATTTAAAATAAGGATACATATCCATAACCTCTTATAATAAATTTTAAATTCTCTATCAAATAGATTTCTAAAATATACTGAGTTTATAGAGTATACACAAATATCATTTGCAGGTCTAAAGAATAAAGTTTTAAATCATAACCTGAATTAATTAAGATTTTATCACTATAAGTGTCTACATTGCATTACATACACAACATTTCTTACATTTTTTTTGTAAAAACATTTATTGTTATTATCTTTTACCTATTATAAACAATTATTGTATTATAACTAAGTTTTTTTATGAAATCTATATTATCCTTTAATTACAATTTTTTTGATAATTAGCCATTGTTCTCATTTGACAAGTCATAAAATATGATTTAATTATTTTATTGGCGTTTAATAAGAAGAGGTGGATAGTAGCTAAGAAATAATAAACTTTCTTAAAACTAAAATCCATTTAAGAATGTAGCAGGAAAAGGCGAATAAAAATTCTATATAATGTAAAATGACATTAATTATCTTTGCTATTGCTATAGGCTACCTTATTTAATTATTTAAATAGAATCATTATTTAAAATAACTAACTCATAAGCAATTTCTTTTTACGCAGAACTTTGATATTATATTTTTTAGATACTTTTTGAGGAATAATTCATAACATATTGTTTTTCAGATAAAACAAATTGTTATAAACTTGAATCAAGGTAATAAAATGACATTTCTATTTAATTTTTAATCACAATTATATAATTTTCTTTTCCCCATAAACTGAAGATCTCAAAGTCTGTAATTTAATCACCACCATTTAAAGTTATTATAAAATTCACAGAATTTGTTTATAAATCAATGATAATTAATTGCAAATCAGTATTAACTATCAAATATTGGTTTAAATCAGTGTCTTATGATTAAAATATTTTACATTTTTTTATACTTCTATTCTATTAAAAACTTAAATTAATTTAATCAAATGAATTATTGTCTAAATCGATTTTAAATATTGAACTATCGAAACATGAGTAGTATATTCCACTCTAAGATGTAGAGAGAATATCAAAAAAAGTACTTTGTGGCATAGTTTAAGCAATAAAACTATTTATAACTTATAAATTTAAGTGATTATTGTCAACATAATTTACTGTTACTGATTAAACTTAAATGCTTTATGAATCATAGATAAAAATATATTGGCCAATAAATATAATTGATTTTGCGATAACACTTATTGTAAAAGGATTAGAAAAAGTAAATATTTGATTCAATTCATCATAAACAATCTATAGTTATATTTATTCTTTTTGTTAAATGTAAGCTATGCAATACAAACTTTAAAATGAAGTAATTGAATCAAATGAGATCATATCTTTGTATTGTATTGATTTTCTTGAGTCATTCTTAATATCCCATATAAATAAATAATAATCAGCTCCTTTTATGAAAATTATATCGTTTATGTGAAATAAGAGAAGATCATTGGTTTAGAATTACATGCTTTTTATGAGAGAAACATCAGTTCTATTATAAATAAAGAGAGATCCTTCTTTTTAGGCAACATAATAATCAGATTGATATATAAAAAAGTCTTTTGTGATGATGGTTTCTTGCAAAATTTGCTATGAAGGTCTTTAAGTGTTACATCTTAATTAGGTTTTGCACAAGTTTGTCTTATCATCTTGCTAGGTAGAAGAATCACAGATGGCTACACAGCCGCTCTCTTAAGTGCCATCATGTTAATTCTTGTCATAAAATTAATAGTTATTACATTTAATGTAAATGCATACATTTTATTTTGAATCTAACTGGTAATCCAAATCACACTAAGTGCATTAATTTTAATTATTAGCATTATTGATGCAACTTAGACACCCTTCTATCTCTGTACATAGCTCTTTTGCTTTTAATTGGATTACTAAAAACAAAATAACTTTTACAGTTATATACTTAATCATCATGTAATAGATAATCTTTCTTTTTTTTTTAATAGCTAAAATTTGTTGTAATAATTTATTTATATTTATTTCAAACCTAAAACTTGACTATGAATTTAAATACCTCTAAATTTAATTTCTAAATTTTGTTTTTACACTTTATTTATCTGATTTTAATATTGAAATTCTTATTCTGTTTACAAATTACATCATTCATTCATTCATTCATTCATTCATTAATTTTATGAGATGGGGTATTTTTTTAATCAAATAATCTGAGACTTTGAAATAGTAATTAATAAAAATAATTATAGCTAATAGTTGTGTAAATAAGAAAATATGTTCTTTCGAGCGAAAAAAATAATAAGAAGAATTTCCTTAATATATCTATCAAAATTGAATAAAATTAATTATAAATTTTCAAATTTTTTATTTGCGACTCTTCTATCAAACATTTTTAAATCAGTTAAAGCAAACTATTTAAAGTATATATAAGAAACCTTTTTATAATTTCTTTTTAATAAAATTATAGAATCATTTTAACAAATAAATAAGTAAATATGCTATTGAAGTCGGAATTTACTTTTATTTTTTAGTAAGTAAAAAAGCTTTTTTATATTAAATGACAATTAATTTAGGATTAAATTTTTTAAAATTTTTGAAATTTGCAATTAAGAGCTGCAGAATGGCCCTCAAAAAATGGAGAAGTGGGTTTTCTTAATTAATTAATTTAATGAGGAGTTAGAGTAATTAATTTTTTTGTTTATCTAAGTTATCTGTAAGCATTTATTGATGATTCAAAATAATTTTATCATGTATGTGTTTATCTATACTTAGATATTTCATGCTAGATTTTATTTTTTTAAATTTGTCATTAACTAACTCTCATAGCCATTGAATATTAAGATGGTATTTTTATCATTCTAAACAGGGAGTTTACAGAGTTTAAATAATAAAGAGAAAAAATTAAGAATTTTTATTAAAGGTTGTGAATTTATATGCAAAAAAATATTTTTTAAGTTGGGAGGCATATTTTTAAATATAATTCTGACCTACTTCTCGGAGATAAAGTAAGAAATGTAAGTTGCATGAATAAATAGCTATGTACGTTTGTATATAAGTATGTAAGAAGTATTAGTATTATTTTACAAAATTTAATTAATTTAATTTCCTACCAATGTCCAATTTAAGGGGGGAAAAATTAATGTTTAATCAATTTATTTGCCATAAAATTGAAATCGCTTCAATTGATATATATTAAAAATATATTTTTTAATTATGAAAGAGCTATAATTTTAATATGCATTTTGTTAATTTCACAACCATGAATTTTCTCCCAAATTTAACTTATGGCTAATACTTTCTCTGATAAACATTTTAATTTATTTAAATGAAATGTGTATTGGGCACTTTCTTATCTACAGAATCTTTTTGGCTGATTGATCTTTTAACTGTAATCAATTATTTTTTCACAAACGAATTAAAGTAACTAAATAAATAAAGAATGAATGAATGAATATGCTTAATTTTAAGATATTTAAAACTTTATAATATTTTAATTTTAATCACTTTATTTTTTTATTCTTTTGATTATTTAAAAAAATAAGTGAGTTTACAAGATTAAAAGTAAAATAAATCACATTTTTTGTAATATTCCAAAAACTTCTGTCTTTAATTCAATCTTCAAAATGATTAAATGTATTCAAACAAGTTTTTAAGACTTTAATCAGTCAAATTATGATTTTTCTTTCAGGGTTAAAATTGATATGCAAATTACTAAATGTTTTTTGGCTAAGAATATTAATATATTCATTGTAAATAAATAAAAAAAATAATATTAAATCTTAAATTAACTAGAAGTTTTTTCAAATTTTAATAAATAAAATATTATAGTTATTACTATTGTCAAATAAGCATATTATTTTTACAAATCTAAACTTTTTGTAATAATTTGCAATGTTTATAACACTTTGAAGAGAAAATCAATATATAATATGAAAAAATAAATTAAATATATCCAATTATTATTAATTAATATCTATTTTATTTTATATTTTTTGTTATTTACTTTAATATTTGATATTTATTTATATATCTATCATTATCATGAAGGTTATTATAATTAAAAACTATCGATTTTTTATCCTTTTAAATCTAATTAAATAATACTTTATTTAGGAGATTGCTATTTGATGGATAATATCTCGTTTAAGTTTTCTTTGTTAAATTAAGAAAGCATTAATGAGCTTGATAAAATTTAAAAGCACAATATAACAAAAATAAAATAATATTATGCTATGCTTTCCATAAAAATGCTGATCAAAATAGTAATCATTACTCCCATTCCTTAAAAGAATCTAAAAATGCTAAAGCTTTCAATTTAACCATTAAATTTTACTTAGCATATGTAGCTCGCCACACTAATTTAAAAGCAATCTACAAAACCCCAAAGGAATCCGCAAACAAAACAAAGAGCATAACTCTGAAGGAAATAAGCAATAAAACTAAAGACTACACATAGCTATAGAATTATATTAGAGAAATAAGCTACTTTTGTATAATGAATCTTACCCATCAGTTTACCGCAAATAGCAGCAGCTAGTATTTCGCTGAAGCCAAGTACTGTAAATACATAAGTAGTTTTAATGTTGATGTCTTATTTTTATTCATCATTTAGTTAAGCTGTATCCAAAGAGTATCCAAGGGAAGATTAAATTATAATATACAAATAGCTAGAATAAAAAGCTATAGCAACACCATTCATAAAGAAAAATGAAAAGTAGGACTACATTTCTTTCTATAAAAGTAAATTTTTAAATTTTTAAACCCTTTTTCTTGTATTTTCACTAAGCACATAAGAATATTAAGAATTCATAGATAATTAAATTTCAGATTATTTAATTAAGTGAATTGGAATGTCTTCATAAAAGAATAACATAAAAGCTCCAAAACCAGCAATGCCAGTCATAAAAACCATAAACAAAGTTTAAGAAAAATACTTGAGCAAAACGAAAGCCATGATAGAACCTAGTCCTTGACTTAGCTAAAAAATGCTCCAGAATATTCCTATTAATTTTCCTTCCTTTTCAGGATATAGTTTACAGAAAAACATCATGAATGCGCTCTAAGAACTCTTTTAATTGATTAATTAATAAATTAAAGTAAATTAAATTCTATTTAATTATTTTCATTTTTAGATTCTTAATGTAAAGCCAAAGTTTGTTAGTTAATTCATATGCCATTTAAAATATTTTTAAATAATTTATGAAAATAAAATTTTTAATTTAAGTTTTACCCATAGTACTGCGCTGTTTATACCATTTAAAGCTGTGACAAATATTACAATAGAATATATTAGTGGTTTTTTGCATATAAATAAATCATCATCTTAATGATCTGAGCAACTTGACACTAAAATGCCTAAAGAAATAAAACCAGTTATGATCAAAGCGCATATGAATTGAAGCCATTTAACACTGAATTTCTAAGTAATATAAGGCGAGATAAAATTACCTAAACCAAAGAAAGCATAAGTTACAAATACGGATATATTTCCAAGATATTTAAAGTTCATTTAATCATACAATTAAGTTACTAAACTCAAAAATGTGATCTCTGAAATAAAAATAAAAAAATAGCTAAATGCCATATAGATTATCCTTCTTCCAACTCCCTTATATGTATATTTTTTTTTGCTTTAATCACTTAGCAAAGACTGTAAATTATCAACCATAAACCCTAACTAAAACTACTTCTATACAATATCTACTTATTTGGTAATTTAATTTGATACACTAAATATTACCAATTAATCCTATTCTTTCAATGAATTAGGATACAAATTAGATAAAATTTATATTTTTTAACAATTAAATCCCTTCCTTTATGGCCCCAAATTTACGCTAATATAGTTAGATGTAATCAATAAGATTTTTCATTTTTGTTTTAACTTATAAAAGAAATAATTAAGTACTTCAAGTAATATAAATCTTTTCCAAAAAAAGCAAAAGCTTACATAATTACATTATGACATTTTTTTATAAATAAATTTTTCTTCTCAAATAATTTTAAATAATAATTTATAACATTATATTATGAAATTATTTGATGTATATATGTTTGTTTGTTTAAAATTATTAAGTTAAGGATGGATATAAATCAAAATTCATATGTATTTTATACAGTAGATCCATCCTCGTATTTAAAAAATTTAATTATTTCTATCTTTAAGTAAAATAGTTAAAAAAAGGTAATAGTCTTATATTCGAATTATGCTATTATATTAAGCCCTTAATTTTTTAAGTAAAAATATTATTTATAGCTATTCTAATTAAGGAAAATTTCTAAAAATTTAGGACTCACTTAAAGAAGAGCTTAATTCAGAGAAGTATTTTGACTATTCTAATTCAGCCTCTTTCTAGAAAATTTAAAAAATGATAGGGTTTATTTAAAGCAGAGCTTAGTTCAGAGCATAGACTACCTCTTTTTGAATAATTACAGAATATAGCAGTCATAAGACATTTATTTATAATTTTCTTAAAAAGCTAAAGTTATTACTTTATGACTTTAAACCCAATATTTTAATGAAATCAAATTAAATAATTTATGTTAAATAAAAAAAATATTATTAAAATAAGAAATATTTATTGTTAGTTATAATTTTTTATTGATTTATCTGAAAATTTCCTTTAAAACTATGTATGATAAATTAATTATTCACAAAAAGAAATAAACTGATACATTCATTTTTAAGTATTTAAAATTTGTTTATAAAGCAATTATGAAGGACACTTTGGCCGAGTGGTTAAGGCGGCGGCCTGCTAAGCCGTTTCCCTCTGGGAGCGTGAGTTCAATTCTCACAGGTGTCGAATTTTTTTAATTTTATTTAAACTAAAAATTCTTAAGATGAAGAAATTAATTTAATTTTCAACAAATTAACAAATTAGATTTTTAAGTAAAATTAATAAATTGATTTTTAAGTAAGATTATTAAATAGATTAATTAGATTATTTAACATTAAATAATTAAAAAATATTGATGAATATTAAAATAAATAACTCACTAGTTAAATTTAAAAAAAAAAATATTTATATTATAAGCAAATTGTATTCTTTATATTATTTAAGAGTTCAAATACATTCATAAATTATATAATAATTATTGATTTATTTATTTATTAATATATTATTTTTTCTATTATATTTTATTTTGAAAACATTAATTATAAATAATACTACAGATTTTTATATTGAGATAAAAGAAAGTAATATCTTTCTTTTCTAAATTTGTAATTAAAGTCTGTTGATTTTTAAAATTACTTATCAAAGTAGTAGGGAGTTATTTATTTATTTGAGTTATTTTTCAATTTTTCTATTTGGTCTGATTTTATTTAATCAAATACTTACTCCAATGATTAAAATCAAACTAATAGCTGATAAAGATAAAACGGTGGATTTAGCACAGTACATGATTGAATTAACATAATTTTACACATCACCATCAGCATATTAGCAATTTTGTGTCACACAATCTTATAATGTAGAATTTTAGAACTGACTTTCACAATTGGCCAAACAGTTCTTGGACTCAATAATTAGGCCATTGCAGGTTGAATTGTTAGCTGCACATGGACTCTGAGTTTGATTTGCACAGAGTAAGAATCCTTAAAAGTATAGAGAAAAATATGCTGTATAAATTGATTAAGTACAGGTGCATACTTAAACATAGATACTAAAAACACTTTCGTTCTTAGCAATATTTGCACACTAATCTTAAAAGCATTTCAATTGAGTTTCATTCTATTGATATTAAGAAGAGCAATCACTAGCACACTTTGCTAGATTTATTTATTAAGTCTAGCATTAATCATCTCCTTCAGAACAGACTTTTCTTTACTAAGATGTACATGTTTAAAACTGTGTAAATGACTGGGCATTAACCAAACTGTTTATTATGATTATTAGAGCAGCTAAAAATTATAAGAACATGTTTGTTTATGAGAAAGCCAACAATAGATAGATTCTAATTTAGTTAAATAATTTTTAAATAATTTATTTTTAAAATTTTGTTTTGTAATTATTTGAATTGTATTTGCAAATAGATTTATTTATTTATTTAAATATTAAAGTTAAGTAAAATATATATTGGTTTATTTATTTCTTTTTGATTAAATGAAATTTAAAAGTTTGAAGAATAGCTTTTATAAAGATATATTTTAATTTAGCTTTCTAGATTAATTTTAATGTTTTTTACTGAACTTTTTAAGAAATAAGCACTTTTAAGCAATTCAAAATAAATATTTTCCAATTTATTATTGTTATAATTAACTAGCAGATGTTTTGAAAGATCAAATAGAGTTGAAAGAATAATTTTAAATAAGAAAAAAATGAATTTATTTCTATTTAGCTTTTTAATTATTAATTGATATTTTTTTGTATTTATTTTTTATTAGTTTTTTACATAAAAAAATATTATTATAAAATATAATTGAATAAAATTATTTGTCTTTATGATGAATTTATTGAATTATTTTCATCAATAAATATTGAAGTAGATTTTATAAAACAATCTCGCTTATAATAATTGCTTATGTAAAATATTTAAGATTTTTATTTTAAAATAATAATCTATAAGGATACAAAGTAATCAACAACCACATTATGTATGTAAGTATGTATGTATGTATGTTTTATGTTAAAGGCTAGAAAAAATTCAATCTTGTAACTAAATAGAAAAAAATTTAAATATTTATCTATTCGAGTGTTTAAAGCATTATTAGAAATTATTCTTACTTTATCTATTTTCTAGATTATTTTTATAGAATTGTTTAGATCCAAATATTTATTTATTTATTTACTTATTGTAGTGTGTATTTATTAAATTTAATAGCGCTAAATTTTTAAAAGCAAATTTTTCTAATTTTTGTCTGAATCAGTGAATAAATGAATGGGTATATTAATTATCATTAATGAAATTCTTCAACTATATTATAAATTGTTTATATTTTCTTACTTTTAATTAAATAAATACCTAGTTTTTATCTAATTTCTTAGAAAATATTATTTATAAAAATGAAGTTCTACTTAATTATATTTGAAATAAATACAAAATGAAGGATTCTATTGTTGTATCTTAAATGGTTGAATATTAAATATATTCAATATTTAAAAATATATTATTTGCTTAAAATAATTAAAATTTAAATCTTTATTTATAATTTAATCCTCATCTTAATGAATGATATATAACTAGATATAAACAACCTTTTTATATATAATATCTCAGCAAGCGTCTTTTAAATTAATCAAATTTAATTTCAAAAATTTTTATTAAATAATTCTAAATATATTTGAATTTATTTATTATTTTTAAATACATACTAATTGTAATATTTTAATTTATATTCTATAGATATTTTTTTCTATTCATTTATATATTATTATTTTTTCTATTATTGATTTACATTGAAAAAAATATGGGTTTGACATTTAACTTCATAAAATTAAGAAAAATTATAATTTTTAAACAAATAAATATAAATAATTTAATTAAATTTTTGTATAATTTCATCTCAAATACATTTTTCATTTACTGTTTCTATAAAATCATTTATTATATATAAAAAAATAATTTTTTTAGATGATTAACAATCTTTTATATACCTTAATATTTTAATCAATAGATTGTCTTTGTAAAGTAATAATTATTATTTTTCATATAAAAAAAACCATTTTTTAATTCATAAAAACCTTCAAAGATTACATCAATTTTTTAAAAACTACAATTGATAGATTTTGAAATTTTAATTAAATTTTCTTTTTACACAAATAATTTTTTATATTTGTATTAATTAATTAACCAATTATCTTCTATCTTCGTCTAACTAATGAAGCGGATTAGTCTGTTAAATCTAATTAATAGACAAAAATGGCTTATATTTTTTGAGTTATAAGTCCCATTTTATTATTAAGCAAAATTAAAAAGTCATTCTACTCTGTAAAATATTTAAAATTATGAAGCAATTTGAATCTTTAAATTATATATTGTGTGTATATGAAATAGATAGATAGATTAGTAAATCAATTATTTTGTTCTATTTTTTGTAGAAAATTAAGTTAATTCAATAAATATTAAATATTTTTGATTTCCTTATTAAATACATTATTATTTCTTATATATATAATTATAGTATAGAGGAAATTTATTTCGAAATTTTTACATTTATTTTAAAAGGTTAATTTTAATTTGTTCTAAGGCATTTTCTTTAGAAAAAACCTTTAAGCTATTTTTTTTATGCTTTTGATTATAATAGATATTTTATTTTCAATTATTTTATGAAATATCTATGCAAATTATAAAAAATGGTTATAAAATTACTTTAAGCTATATAA